GCCGTTGTGGAACTCCACAATCAATTTATAATCTGAACCTATGCACATTACGTGCGCGGCACACACGCGATTTAGGCTACGTTTTGGACCCACACGAGGGATTGTCATGTAAGTCCCCATCCGCGGAACATTCCCCCGTGATAAACGACCGTGAATAGATCATCCTGCAGGGATGCAAGCCTGGCGCTTGATCACAAACTATCATTAGAATCGGTTATTAGTCGAAGACAGTATGGAGGTATGCCGGCAGCGCCATGCATGTATGTCTTCCGTCCCAGTTTTTAATAACGACTGAACATGATGGTGTTTGCTCGAACTCTACCATTATTCATTCTTTGCTGGTATGTATGAGCTTTTTTCCTGCATTAGGCCTATATTCGATAAATGGAAGGTATGATTAATGTACTATAATAATAGTCCAAGCTCACACCAATTTAATAGGGGGGTGAAGTTCGAGATACTTTGTGCGTCGGTACAGGCAATAAATGAGAATTTAAGTTCAGTGCGTCTGTGAACGTATTTTACATTGTCTTGAATTGTTAAAAAGGGGGAATCTTTGATATTCCGGACATTTTTAGTGCAACGAGTTATGCAGCTTAAGCACGTCTTTCCTTCCCCGTAAAATCCCGACCCCTTGGGACCAAGACTTGACAACAAATCAAATGCTGGGCCTAGTTTGTTTTCACACGGATCACGATCTCGATCGGCGATCCCAACGCTGGTTCGCTCCGTCCATTAGGCGGGCTCTGCTGTCGGTGAACTATAGTGACGGATCACTGATCAAGATCTGTGTGAAAAAAACTGACCCAAAGTTTTCAGAGAACACGACTAACTGGGACCTTCACTACGCACATGCGTACATCGTGTACCACAGTGATGCGGGTTTATAACGCGCAGGTTAACGCGCAGCTCAACAACGTTTGAGTTTATACGCACGACATCGAGCGGGCGCGTTTGGGCGTATTTCCAGCTCGAGTCTCCCGATGCTCCCTGCAGTTTTGGCAGGCAGACAACGCGATTCTGCAATGATGCCCGTTTTGTTTAGGAAGCTGAATCACTCTGTTTCATGCCGATGACCACACCTCTGGTGGCATTTCTGGGCTGGACACAATGTAAGCGCAGCACGCAGCCGCCGAGGGATGACAATCGTGGGCACGCGGCGGCACACGTAACCACACACCGTTCAGCTGTGTCTGTCAGAAGTGTCTTACCCCGTACAAGGTGTAACAGGCCTGTGTGTGGCAGGTGTGTAGCTCTCACAGAGGAACTGGATTTTCTTCTATTAATAAATTAAAACCAGAAGAATACGAAGAGGGTCTGGACTGTTGACGGTGTGATAGTCGCACAGAGAGACCATACGGACCGACCATAACCGGCAGACAGATCATCTTTGTCTTGATATCAATTAATATGGATTACTGTATCAAAGTGTCATGGATGCATGGCATATCCTCCCCCCAAAATGCCTATGGTATGTCGCGAGCGAGGTTTTTCAAAGAGAGGAAAAAAATTCTCAGAAAACTGAATAACTTCAAGTTCTCAAACATTGCACGGCAAATAATGTCGGCCCCCTTTTAATTTTACACACCGAGCTGTGCTCTGCTTGTTATCGCCAAAACAATATACAGTCGAACCTGGTTAATAGGAGTACCGTTTATACAAGATTCTGCTTATAATAAGGACATTTTTAGATCCCATTCCTATGATTTTCATTGTTTTCATTCCTGATAATACAGTGTTCCAGTTATAACAAGGTACAATTTGCCTAGTCCGAGGACCTCTTAATAACGAGGTGCGACTGTATCGGTAGCTGGATTCTGCGTGGACTGAATGCATCCTTTGCCAGGCCGACGCCAACCAACGAGCTCCAGCGTCAAGCCGTGCTTTTACAAATTGCTTGTTTAATATTGCAGATGAGGAGGGCCTCTCTAATATGAGGTGCGCCAATAACTCGATACAGGGCACAGGCAAGGCATCAAAATGTAACGTGATCGCATCCTTAAAATACAGAAAGACATGTTGCATCGTCGTGTCTGCCAATATCTGAGAAATGAAAGTGACACGGCAGCTGCCGAGGTTGAAGTGGTTAAAAACTGGCATTTCCGGACGTTTACGTGAATCAAAAGCGAGCGGCATTGTGTACGAAGTGGAAAAAATCTACCAACCATTTCTTCTGGCGGACGTTGGCCAAAAAAAGAAAAGAGAAGATTTTAGACACTCTAGGGATGATGCCAAAAGGAAGCTCGTCTTCAGGAACATGCTGTTCCAATGCAGATCACTAGCAGAGCTTGCCAGAACGACCTTAAAACGGTTAATTGTGCTGTCCACGCGGACGTGGTCGGCATTTGTAAAGGAATACACAGCAAAAGCCAAACACATGGGTGTCGCCTGTGGTTGGTAAAATAGCTGTGTCGCACTTGGGGCTGATGACAAGATGTGTTTGGCTTAACCTTTTCAAGGGATTCTTAGGGGATGATCAGTAGGTCTTCTCCAGGTAAAATGGGTGAAGGTGATGAAAATATTTATAACATTTATAATTTAAACGGACAGCTAATGCGAAAAAGCTCTCTGTCGGTAAAAAAAAGTGGCAAGAATCTAACCATCTATGGGAAGGAACTTAACTTTGAGCGTATAAACGTATTTTGACGAGCAATGGGCAAATGAAGTACTTAAGAGACAATGCTGTGGGTGTTTGAAACTGAAATTCATGTGGCAAAAAGCGGCGGCTGTTGCACACTGACGTTATCAGATTGTTTTAACCTCTGCTTTTTACCTGGCGTTAGAACAGGTGCAATACAGTTGCTTCGTTTTAGCGGCGTCAATCAATAATCGTATTTCATTGATTGTCAAGTATCTTCCGCAACTGTTTTGCAAAATGTATCTCGAATTATATCACTCATTTTTATGAGTTCAGACGTCAGGACAGGCCGCGAAAGCCTTGAGGCAGGCCCAATTATGGTGCACGGCAGTGGTCGCCATTATTCACAGTTATCGTGGACAATTTCCTTTTGCAGGTCTGACATATCGGGGACGACGTCAACACTCTCCCGCATCGAGGAGCGGCAATCAGAAGTCGAAGCAGAACATTACACGTAGGACTTATAATAAAACCCGAACTGCACGCGCCGTGCACGTCCAACGCGGAGAGCAAAGTAGTGCGACGATTGCCGAGACAGCATGCAGCGCGGAGGAAGATGGAATCTGCACGATAGAATCTTGAACTCTTTTTCTCATGCTGGGTAATTTATGATGAGTTACTGTCCCCCCTCAATTAGCTACGGATAACCCCGCCCACCGAAATGCCCCAAAGCTTTATTTCACAGACCGAGTGAAGGTTGTATGGACCTAGGCTGTTCCAATTCACACACCCGTCTTTTAACCCTGCATCGTGCCGACCTCCCGTTTTAAGGCCCACACAACCTATTTGAAATGCAGTACAGTTCACACGTATAAACAGAGGCAGTGTGACATAAAAATGTGGCATGTGAAAGGGGAACTGAACACAGCTCACAATAATGGCTAAAGCATGAAGCTTATAACAACACAAACACCTTCACCGCACTCTTATCCTCAAATAGAGATTAAACAAAAAAACCCAGAAACTTTCGGGGTTTTGAAAACAGACAGACGCCATCCTGTTATAGATGATCCATTACAGAAGAAGATATAATCCAAGTTCCAGAGACAAAGTACAGTTCAGCTGCAGTATCAAAGATGACTGACCTAAATTGATCCATTTTGTTGGATTAGTGAGCGTGGATTGCAAACTGCCAAAGTCGGCAGTGATTGCCTGCGCTGAGTAGCTCTGGGTGGGATAGTTAAAGAGAAATTTAATCCGCGAGACTGCGTGGAATCAAGGCATTTTTTGGTTACATTTTGAGAACTTGGATCCGTCTGTGGATATGTTGTCCACGCCAACTCTACGTCTACGGCGACGCTCATACACTGTTTCAGCCACTCAAAATCTGGCCGTGGCTGATTCACAAGCTCTGGGAGTATTCCGCAATGGCAGTAACCAATTACTGATGTCGTGAAAGGGTAAGTAGGTGATGGGCCGCCAGTTTCCACACCTGGACGATCAAGCACAAAACAGTCCATGCATCGTGGTGTAACTATTCACACAGTAATGCTCAACGTCGCAAGATAGAAAAATAAATGGAGCTGGAGTGAAAAGGAAGGCAAAAAATGAAAGGTATGGAAAGGAATAAAGTAGTGAGAGTTTCAATCGAAAAAGCCGACTGCCATTTTGTACAGTATATTTTGTATCGACTCTGCACAACTGCGCGCTGGGCCGGGGCGTATTAATCACATGTTATTTAAACTTAAACAATCGTAGGATAAGCAGGGCACTTCATCTGCAACACCTTGGCCGTAAATTGAGAAAACGCTCCCTACACTCTGGCCCTTCACCGGAAGAGTGAAACGTATTATCACTTGACGGGACCTGACGCATTAGATATTAAGGTTCAGGCCAGCAAGACAGGAGAAAAATTACCAGTGCTCAGAGAATCAATCTTTCAATTGGTTGACACCAAGCCACTCAAATTTCGAAAGGGCGTCATTGGTTGTTCACATTGGAAAAACCATGTACCACTTCTCAAGCTGGCAAGACGTTGAGGATGTTTAAGTTATAATGACAGGATTTCACCCGAACGACCGTAGAGCATGCAATGCTTCCAGGGCGACCAGCGAAATCCTGTCATTTTAACCTCCCCGTTAAACAATGATCCCGCTAAAAAGTTTTAGGTGAGCCTCTCCGAGAGGAACAACACATACTATGTCTCGCAACACCACACTGAAGGTTCTGGTACAGGGAACACCTGATGATCGAGTCAGGCTGACCACTTCAGACAACAACGCACCATGCCTGGTAGCATCTGCAACACCGCAACCAAGGGTGACTTTCCATTGAACGTTGGCACCCCCATACGGATAAAGCATGGGCGACGTAAGAGGGACCTATCGGGTAATAAGTAAACTGGACGAAAACAGGTACTTACTTCTTCACGGACTGCTGCTATGGGCCACCCGTCCTCGACGTATGTGGAAGGCGGTCATCAACAATGTGACGTCGCTGGTTTCAGGATGTTTTGGCGAATCTGTTCATTCCAACTCGTAGCCACGATGGCTTGCGCTGGCAGTATCCCAAAGAAGGGAGATCTCTGGGTCTTTTCTTCGCGTGTCGACACTGTTTGGAGAAAGTTTGAGATTGACAGTAAGTTCAGAGTGAGTTAAGTCAGAGCATGCGGTCCGCCAGGTCAAGTTCGGAGTTGCCGGGCAAAGTTGGGTCAGTCCAACGGGAGCTGCGCTCGCACAACCGGCAAAAAATCCGAAACCATAATAGTATATTACGATCCCTTCCGTAGAAAACTTCCACTCCAACGTAATGACTGTGTGTGTACGGGATGCAAACTGCCTGAAAACGTACCACAGTATCACACGGTGCAGAAATTGCCTGTCTACGAAGCCCACTGCTCTGTCGACCGTACATCGACCGAGCCAGTCCCTTACGATCTGCCGGCCGCGATGGCACACAGCGAAATGAGCCCTCTACTCTCGTGCGGCGCGTGTGCTTGCTTCGTTTTATTATTTTACACATTAGCTATCACGCCCTGCTTACAGACACGTCAGGTGATTGAATCACCGGTCGCACAACAGATGCGCGTGCGCAGGTGTCATCATCTGGGCAAAAAGGGGAGGAGCAAAAGGACATAACGAGGGAAAAAATGATTTTGTTCTGGTATTCTGCGACAAGAGATTACATAGAGTCGGGACTGGTTGTGTATTAGCGCCATGAGCAAAAACACTGATCTCTTTGTTAAAAAAAATCCGGACAGCTAATTTATCATTTGAAGCTGTATAAACGAGTGATGCTACGCGCTGGTTACAATCGTCTGCATAGAAATGTGTGGAAGGAACCAGATTTAAAGGGTACATGAAAACCTCTGCGGTCGAATTGTTACGTTGCACCCTGTTAGTACGTCTGAAGGTAAAATACGTGTACATGTACACTTATATACATGTACATGTACATGTCCACGTATGCGATGCCAAGGCGCCCTGTAAAACCATGTGTACATGCAGTAAGACCAAAGTATGGGCAACAGAGGCTTTGCGTAATGGACTGTTGCAAGGAAGTTGATTTGTCCCCCAGGGAACGTCCTTTGTGCATGCCTTGTGAAACAAAAGAACAGGCCTGCAAGATGGCAGCCATGCAAACCCTCTATTACACACCAATACTGAGCGGAATAGCCCAGGCCGATTTGGAAGCATTTCATACCCTTTGTCGGTCGCGTTTCGTAAAAGCTCTTCGTCGTCTTTGTTCACAGACTTTCTTTGATTTCCAAAAGATCGTGGGCACGCCGTTTGACTTCAGCAATCGTTTAAATTTAATTCCAAACAAATCGTACACGTTCGGAAGAAAACACTATGGCTAGAAATGCGCACTGCACAGTTTGAATCTCGCCGTCAGTCCCCACCATTTGGCTCTGGCCAGCCTGACTTTTGATTCGCTTCGATTGGAGAGTTATGCAGGCTTGGCCAATCTTTATAGGTGGTGCCGTAGGCTGCGGCAACAAATCTGGTCGGCATGATCTCTAAACGCACACAAAAATTAGAATGAACTTTCAGAACTCGACTCAAGACAAGCATTGACGCGTTAGCAGCGCGTGACGGTGTATTCTCAAATGTACGCCACAGATATGCGACATATCTATGTTAATGAGATACCTCTCAGGAGCGGGGCCTTTTAGCCGAGAATTTTCCCTCCCATTTATCAATCGAAACAACAATTGTTTACATTAGGAAATCGTTTAAAACACATAATTTTATATTATAACTAATAAAACTGGTTTTCGTGGGCCCTTTAAGACTTCTCATTAAAAAAAATCTGGCCTTTGTCTGAGAAGAGGACATTAAGGAGGCGTGGCCCTTCTAACGGCCGATGGCCCATCCACATTTTGCTTCTTTGTTTGTTTAATTTTTTTGTCATGGAGATGCCATATATGCCATTTTGCCATATCCGCCGAGTTAGCTAAAATTAATTTATAGATTTTCAAGATTACGAAACCGACGAAACGGAATACTTATCTTTGAAATTCCAAGTAAATCTGGGGGACCGAATTTCGAGATCACATTAATCGTGAATTGAAAAAAATAACAACTCGAAATCATGAAATCAGTCGGCAGACGAAGCACATATTTTAAAAGTCTGTACCATTTTAACCTAAACAATATATAGTTCAGCCTTGACAAACGAACCTACAAAGAAAGCAAACCTATAGGTTAGGCATTTGGTATAGAGTGCTTTAATAATAGATACCCTTTTGGCATTGATGAAACGACCGTATGACAGATGAGTGCTTTACAACAATCTATTTTAAGTTCTGAGGCCAACTGTGTAAAGTTATATGAGCTATCTTGGCCTGTACATGAATGTGGGTAGGCAGAGTAGTTAACCAGAACTGGCCGTAAAACCCAGATGGTGGAGGTGCCCGCAGATGTGGCTATGGAAATTATGACAAGATGAAAAACTTGTGTTCTACGAATTAACTTAACCCACGACGACGTTTTCGTTTTTTTAAAATTTATTTTTATATCATGTCATGACTGTTATGTTATGTCATGACACTCAGGAAGCGTTAGAGGCTGGCCCACTCGCACAACCTCCACAGGCGCTTATGCGGCAAAAATGGGATCCATAATTGGGCTGTAGCGGTCCCATTGGGCCATTCTCTCGACGAGGTTGAGCATACGTCCAATAGCACAACCCTTCCCTTAACTGCATTCTCGTGACTCTCTGAAGCCTTACCAAACCACGCGTGAATTGCACGGCTTCCTCGCTCTGATCTCATGGGGGTGCATTCGATGAGCTAAGCTTCCATACTCGCAGGTTTAACCTCGTACCCACCGTCTGGCGTGTTTAACACAAGTGCACCCAGCCGTCCTCGGGCCAGGGTACGGTCGCCCAGTGTAAAGCTAATACGACGCAGCCATGCATTACCACGTCACAACGTCACAGTCTTGTTGGAAAGATGTTTGTGTCGTCCCAAGACGTGGAATGAAATCACTCACATCGAGACTTCGACTTAATGTACAGTCTCGTTTCTTCCGCCTCCAACACTTTCTCGTCGTACTATTATCCACAGGGCCTCCCACGCGCACTTTTACCACAGCAGAAAGAAATTGAACAAAGGGGCAATCACGAAGGTCAGGAAAGCATACCTTGCTCCTTCTGTGGGTCTGTTTTCTGTGGTCGAGTGGAGCAGTTAAATATATCTGCCGAGTGAGGTGCGCTGTTGTGCGTTCATACACGTTCTTGAAACAGCTCTCGTACGCGTGCCGTGGCCCTTTAAAAAGATTTTTTTCCCTCATTGCAATTCTCACAATACACACACACGCCGGAACTCATCACTTGTAGCTCCTACTACCCTGTTTGCCCGCTAGTTTCTTCGCCACGCTCCGTCGGCATTTTCCCCGCTCGGGTAAACACACCCCTCGATGCTTGTTTTAATTTGGCGGGTAAAGTCACCCCCTCCCCTCTCTTTCAACTCCCATGAGAGGGCAACCGCAGCTCGATGATTCTTTCCGAGCCGTGCGGCTATCACTGCGCGAAGCAGCCGGTATTCCCGCAGCTTCTGAGCGATTACGAATTCGCATGACGGCAAACACGTCGGTGACCATTGATACGAGGGGGGGGTGGGGGTGGCGGTGTTGACACAACTGTCGACTGGAAAACGTTAGCTCCCCCTGTAACAAGTATACGGGGAAATGTCGCAAATGCTCGGATGTACTCCTTTCCACTTCGACAGTGGAAACCTTGGAGATTTCTCCTTCCCTCCCCCTTTTCTTGACGAACAGCGGGAAAAGAGTTTGCTTGACTCTGCGTGACATCCTCTTTGCGCACTTGAGACATTTTGTCGATGCTCCACATGATCTGCTTGTGTCAACAGACGTCTCCTAGTGACAGGATGCAAACACCGTGCAGCCACTCGAATGACGGCAGCGTCTTGGAATTCACTTTTCCTACGCACGAAAAACGCGGCACAGTAGAGCAACGCACGCGCGGTCGCCCCACAATGCCCTTTCGCGGGAATCGGCTGATTTCTAAAGGGGCTAAGAAACGTAACTTCCTCGAAAGTGTCATTGGATGGCTTGAATTGGACAGGCTGCATGAGGTCATTTCTTGGAATTCTCATTGGATGCAGTTTACCTGAACGAAAACACTTTTCAAAGTTTAAACGTGCGCAATGACACATGCGCACAGAATGTGCGTACAAGACGGCCCGCAAAGCTTCGCCAAGCCCGTAAGGTACTTCACACAAAGGGCATTAACCCTAACCCTCCTCAATCCTTCACCTGTTGGAGGACTGAGGAGCGTTAGGGTTAACCCACAAATGTCACTCCTCGTTATCGCACCGTCCTCACATTATAAAGCTTTTGAATACAATTGGCGCCAAAAGATTAATATTGGTTTAATTGATCGGGTATATTGAGATAATTGCTCCTCTACATGCCGGCTGAGATCTGAGGGAGGTGTACCTGAGACGAACTGTTTAGCACGGTAAGTAGATTGGAGCACTGCACGAGTACTTCACAATTAATGTTTACATGTTTTCAGTTTTGACAATGACCTCCACTTTTTGAGGGGGGGGCAGGCGAGTACAGTGATACAAGCCATTGCGATTGTGATGAAGTTCGGTGATGGTACCAGTGACATTTGAATAACTGACGGCGCCGCAATCGGCTAAAATATGCTAGCCTTTTAACCGCGACTCATCTGACACTGTTGCACCACTAAGTTTCTGGAAGATAAATACTGTACCAAGAAGAAGTAGACTCTTGTCAGCCCTTTCAAGTGCCTGCCTTAAACAGACACGCGAGGTCTATACGGTATGCCGCGGGAAAACAAACAGAAAGACGCAAGCTGTAATTTCGGGACCATTGAGGCGTATACTAATTATAATTTTTGGACTAGGGAAGATTACGAGCAGGGCTCTTTTGTGAGATTTTTGTGTGTGTTACATTTGGAGAGAAAGTAAAGGGTTTATTTGGGAATAAACTCTGACTATTTAATTGTTAATTGTACTGGCTAATAGTAGTCTTGCCTGGGAAAACATCCAAACAACAGAACAGAATGTTATTTTTCCCGCATTGCGACACCTTGGTTTTTCAAGACCCAAGAAAAGAACAGGTTGAGAACTGTTGTTACAGAATGTTGCCCTTGTCGGAAGTTGTGTGCATTATTTAAAAAGCATGGAAACAGACAAATAAACACAAACGGAAGCTCACACACCACATTCTCTTTAACCCAAAATGGTCCCTTTAAATTGGTGTATAACTTACCCACATCTGTTGTATGTTCGCGCTCTGCTGGTTAAAAAAGGTTGGGGTATAGCGTGTCACCCTTCACTGAATTGATATTGTGAACAACAGTACTCACACCCACGTTAACTGTGACACGCATCGCAGTGTTTGAGCCAAACTATGATGAATAATGACACTTCTAGGGATTTGAAAGCATTTTTACGACGAGGTTTAT